TGCGAAAAACCAAATCATTAAACCGGCGTAGAATTTCAACCATAGACGAAGGGAATATTGATCCATAGATTCTCATTCAATCAAATAACCCCATACACGCACACAAGCAAAGCGGTAGTCAAACTATTTCAACGGATGTCTGACAACACTGTTCCTCATCAAACATGGAGTTGAGATGCAGTTTCACTCATTTTCGGCTGTGGCACAGGCAATAATCCCACCAACCACCCATGTGACACTTGTTTCTGTTCGCTGAGAAAACGGGAAAAGTTGTGAAAGCTATTTGGATGTAATATTCTAAAAGGCGTGGGGTTCTACCTCGGATCTGATGTGCATTTCAACAGGTATGGTTGTCATTAATACGTCAGTTGTTATAGTTGAGCACATTGCCCATGTTTAGTCTGCAGATTCAATCAGGTCAACCGCCCAATACGATTACACGAGGCCAATTTTTAGGGACTGAAGCTTGATATCCTTAAGCGGTGTCTTCTGGAACATAGCTTCAATGTCTGTGTTTGTGATCAATCTATGATGTACATCACCGCGAGAAGGTATTGTTGATCCGTCCATCGAAACTGGTATTCTCCGTCGGTTTTCTGCTGCCCGTGAAGAGTGCAAGCGTAAGAACCAGGCTGGTATTAGACCTGGTCAAGGTTTTATCGACCATATCTTCACTCTTCGTCAAATTCTAGAACACAGACACTCATTTTGTAGATACACCATTTCTATCTTCCTCAGTCTGAAAGCGGCTTTCACTCAGTCGACCGCTCTTCTGCTGCCTCGCTCTAAAGGGTGTGCTAGAGAAGTTTATTTCTATCTTATAATTCCTTTATACTAATAGTCGAAGCCGAGTCCGAGCTTCCGGCACTTTTTCACCCGAGTTCACTACAAAAAGTTCGATAGGGTTTCCCTTTCTATCCGTTTTTATACAATTCTTAAAGCAGCCCTGGCAGGAGGATATGAATACCCTAACCAGGAGACTGGGTCACATAGGTCCCGTTAGGTTTCATGGCTGAGGACCCAGAGATCATAGTCACCGATGGTTAGAGACACTGAGTGATATGGCTGGNNNNATCTATTCATTATTCTCTTAACATCAGTCTATATGAATTCTCCATCTTCTGTTTGAATTGGCTTTTAACATTTCAATCTTCATCCTTCTCTTTTATCCAAATGGTCTGCCAAAAGACCGCAACCAAAAGCGACGTACCAAAGTGCATGGTTAATGGTTGTAAAAGCAGATACTGAAAACTGCCTTTTAGAAATCGAATGGGTCAAACCAAGCTTGCAACTCTGAAAATGTTTTGTTTCATAAACGATGACCTCCATGGTGTGGACTTCGAAAATGTTGCAATTTAAGGGCCACGCCTAACACCGGAGAACATTGCCACGATTCAATAGCTCATTTTTCACGAATAAAATCCATAAAACAGTTTACCGACAGTAGAAAATATAAAGCTGTAGCGTAGGACCATTACGGTTTCATCAAATTTGCTTGGGGTAGCAAAACAATGTTACGGTTTCCGAATGGGAGGGAATTATAACTGGTGTTTCGGGGAAAAAACGAAATTTTAGCTTATTAGGCCTTTGTATCATACATAGATGCATCTCAAATGGGATTTGAAAATTCTAAAATTAACCCTGTTCCATCGTTTGGTAATAATATCCATCCGACCACAAACGAAGAACACCCACTACAGTTAGAATCGGTGACTATATCGAAACGAGAGCTCCGACCGTCGGAAACCAAAAAAGCAATGGAAATGGTCAGGGAACAATAGCGGCTGAACAATTTTGATCAACGACCACAAACAGCGGTGCTCTACGCAGCTCTCGATAGTAAGAGGTACAAAAAAATCTGTAATGCACTGTTCGACATTGCACGATATCAACCATAAGGTGTCATCTTGTACCAAATGTGTTCACAAGGGCACAGGTCAGTATGCATTGCTTTATGCTGGTAATTCCGAAGATTTAATTGAGGGACTCTTCTTTAGTGGCAGTGTGCACTATCTAGGGGCATGGCGTCACCCCAATTTGTTTCCCCTCCTGCAACTGATTTGTTCCGGTCGTGTTTCAATGATTTACGAAAATAGCTTATTTTTTTCATTCGTCTATCAACAAGAACACGTTTCGTTTGATGTACATATACCTTCGATTTCCAAAAGTTTACTAGTATTAAGAAAAATTTCCACTTCAATAAATCTTGATAATTTTGGTTTTTTGATCGCAAAATAAATCGTAAGGCTACTCTTCAACTGTGTTCACTATGCTTTGTTGTTTCATTCCGAGTTAACGATCATTTGTATTTGTCTGATGGATAAAATATCAATCATAGCAAAAGGCTTTTACCTGGCCTCATTAATCGATTTGGTTGTTAACCGTGAAAACGAAACCGGTTTAGTGCGGTTTAAGGGGCTCAGAAAATTCACGAGGATTTCCGAGAAATCCCGTTCTACACATCTTTCCAACGTTGATAAGAATCATACTCCATATTTAGACTATCAACCTTGGATTAGCCCATTCGATTGTTCAGAGGCACCAGANACCAGACACGCTTACTAGTCTTGGGTGTGGGTTTCACTCCTTGGGAGATCGTTGATTTCCCACAAGTAGAATGCAGTCAAATCGCATTTGAATGCATATTTCATATTATTTATACTCTGTTAGTTGAGATAAAATACTGCCTAAATCTTTTTAATGAGTGAATGAAACTTTTCATGTAATATTTCTACAGAATACACAGTGAACTATAATGGGGGCAGTGATGAGTTGCGTCTACGGGGAGAGGAGTTTGGGGAGGATATGACAAAGAAATATGTATGATGCTCACAGTACTAAAATGGTAAACACAACGCCGTTCATCTGTATAAAACCTTTCAATGAAATCGGATGCAACACCAGACTATTTGTGAACCATTTTCTATGCAAACCTTCGTGTTTGCGTTACGTTCAAACAAACACTGAAATTCATTCAAAATGTTTCGAACATTCATCTCACTTCTGCCTGGCGCTGGTGTATGCTGATGATTTCGTTCGCTAGCCACCATACTTCAGAACGAAGGTCTTACATCGAAAAACAGAATCCATCATTTAGTTGCAACTTGATGATAGTGACCGGATGATGCTAAACTGGAAAAACGAATTCGCTGGATAGGTTCATGGATTTGTCGTTCGGTTAGGATATGGCTGATCGCTCAGCTATTCAGTCTTATGTATGAAGTGGCAGCTAATATCTTCAACTGGAAAAGAAATAATCAATAGCAAAAACGCCTACTGTTTCACTTAAAACTCGCTACGCAAGCACATTCATGTGTGTGAAACATCAAATGAGCTATGAGTGAAAACAAACATTTTCTGTATAAGTCGCGTATGAGACACGGATTTTTCAAGCAAAAAGGCATGGTGTTCGTGGCGCAGTGGCTTAGTAGCTGTCACCGGCGTGCTTTGGACCCTGTGGTCCGAGGATCGAGTCCCGCCACCGCCACACGAATTTGGTGGTAGGCAACTCCGCTGTTGTCCGGTTCAATACCACGCCTAACCTATCGGGGCCTTATGTGGTTCGCAACTCCAAGTCTCGGGGCTTAGGTTGCCGGTTTGCACCACTGAACAGCAGGTCCTCCTAACTATGGGTTCGCCCCATCTGCTGTTCATCATCTTTTTTATCATCTTTTCTCAGTTTAACCCTGAATAGAATTCACCAACATTTGAACTCAGATACTAAACATTATTAGTACTTACACTGACCTCAAAATCTTTTTTCACATCAATCTCCCACGAACTAGGCGCGTAATGCTAACCAGTACTGAACATACTGGACACAGACAGGATGTACTTTGTGATGCGTGATTCCTAACTGACCGGAGGTGTCTATGAACCATTCACACCAGACTGATGCC